CCAACAGCAGTTCCCCGATTTCCTCATTTAGGCCAATCAAAGTGGCATTTTATTTTGGCGTGCTGTTAACAGTTGATGGTAGAAACCATCATGGGGTCTCAATAGCTATGTAACAGACATGAAAGTAATAACTAGAATGCCTGACAAATTTTGAAACACTATATAGCTCTATGTATATTTATTAGTTGGCTACTTTGGTCCAGGAGCCCAGCTCTGGACTCAGAAGTGTCTCTCTTCCAGCTCTGTAGCCTTGGGAAAGTTGCCTAACTCTTGTAGGTTCGATTTGCTGACCTGTGACACGAGGGTAGCACTGCCCTCCGGGCAGGGATGCAGATGGGGCGTGGGGAGGGAGTGACTCACGGGAAACAAAAGCACCACTACCCTTGTCAGACCCTGGTGGTGGGTTGGGAGCTGGCTGGGAAGGCCCTCGACACTAGGAGGCAGAGAAGAGGCCCTGGTCACTTGCTCAGATTTCCTAAACATACTCCATGCCCGACGCTTGGTAGCTAGTTAAAAACAATTTGACTTTTACTTACCAAATAGTTCAGCCACACTTGCTGCATTCTTAAATGCCCCACTGAAGAATGAAATATCTAAGTGGAAGAAGAGAAAATGAATTAAAGAGTCTTGCTTCTTTTGCTTTCCCCAACCCTGTCTGGTGAACTCAAACCTTTTCTCCTTTTCTAAGGATAAATTTGAACTTAAGAAAACTTTCTTGGATGCCGGTTACCATGAAGCTTGGTAAAGATGGACTTTGAACTGTGTTACTAGAAGATATTGCTTAGTGGTAAAAATGGCCCCTGGATGGGACAGTGTATGTGGACTAGAAAAAACTATGAACTATAAGTGCTGCTGAACAGCATCATCTTAGGGTCTCTGAGCCAGTGTGGTGAGCCTTGTACCCAGGCCTGTTTCTCCTGCACATCATGGATAGTATAGCTATGGATTGTTACTAGGGATATTGGCTCCAATGGAGCATGAAGCCTCTAGGCCTTTGCTGGTCTGTGGCTAATCCTTGGGAGACCTTGTCTCTTGCCCCTGAGTTTCTCTGAGGCTCTCCTGGGTTGCTGTGTAGAGTGAGAGCTCTGCTTCTCCAGCTGAAGAGGGGTGATAAGAGTCTGCTGGTGAGTCTGGGCCCAAGGAGCCTGCTGGACAAATGCTTCCAGGGCCCCCTTGAGTCACATTCCTCACAAATGTTACACCAGCAAGTCACTCTAGGGTGTATTCAGAAGGCTCATTTTCTCTGCCAATATCCTAGAGAACTTTGTACAAACGTCCCAAGAAAAGTTCAAAGAAAGCTTACTGATATTTTTTGAGAGTTCTGGAGTCATCTCCTGTGGGAGGTATGGGGTGTCCAGAGCATGGCCTGCTATAAATAAAAAGAGAGAGAGAGAAAACAGTCAGCACAAACCACGCCGCCACCCATCGCTGAGCAAGACAGGGAGGGCACCACCAGAAAGACGGCGAGGATGCCTGAAAATTCAATGCCAGGCATATTTCCTTAGTGCCCGCAGTGTGCTGGGTGTGTGTGGGAGCTCAGGACACAAAGGGGTGCCTGGGGGATCCAGGTGTTTTGGGGTGATGGACTTCACAATGGCATACTGGTTAGGAATAGACAGATGTGGGGACTTTTAAAAAGTTGCCTTTGCTTATGAAGCACACAGCTGCATTTAGGTGCATGTCTGTGTTGGGGTTTCTCAAGGTAAGCACTGGTGGAAAGAAGTAAAAGCATAGAGAGGGACTCAATCCCTGAGTTTATAACTGAGTACGAGGAGTTTCCTTGTCACTGAAGCTATCTGGGATTCAAGCTTAACCCACATTTGGGTCCAGCGTGCTCACTCCAGTCTTCTCCAGCCAGTCTGGAGTGGGACTCATAAAAGCCATTTTTGCTAAGCTCCTCAGCTAGATATGAAGCTGATTGTCCTGAAGCCATGCTTTGAACAGCATTGCTTGGATATACAATGACAACAGAGTAGGGGACTCAGTGTGGCCACCACACCCAGACTCAATGTGGCCACCACCTTGGCAGGCACTTCATCAGGGTGGACACAGGAGCGGAGCCTACCAGGGCAACAAAGAGAAGGGAACTGGGAGCCCAGCTTGGCCACAGATTTGTTCCCGTAAGGTTCAGGCTCATACTTTCATCAATATGAAGCATACAGGTAGTCACAACTGTCAGGAGATTTTTGTCTCTGTTCATCGAGCAGACAATGAAGTGTCCAGTCTGTCATCTTGTCATTCTCCAGAGGCTTCACCTAAGCAAGATCAACAGGAACCAGCCTCCGTGGAAGCACATGCAGAGGTGAATCTGCGCAGGAGGGCACCCCAGGTCAGGCCTGACTTTGTCCAGCTTGGCTCATGATTCTCAGCCTCAGGCCACTGACTGCAGGGTCAGAAAGTGGCCTGTTGTCGGGGGTTGCCCTACAGACATCACATTAGGGAATGTTAGCAGCATCCCTGGCTGCTGTCCACTGTGTGCCACTTGTAACCTTTAGCCAGAGGTGCTGAGTACGTGTGTGTGTGTGTGTGTGTGTGTGTGTGTGTGTGTGTGTGTACTCATGAGTGCAAATGTACCCTCCATGAAGATCCACCAGCTGAAAGAGAGGAGACCCTGGTAAACAGGGTCAGTAGCCAGCTGTCTGGCCCTCATCCTCCTGTTATTCCTTAAGCTAAGGTTTGAAGCTGCCACTTTCATTGTGTTCTCATCAAATTCTCTCCCTTTGGAGTTTGCAGAAAACTAGCTGCGGGAGTCACAGCCCTCATGCCCAGCCTGTTATGATCTGCACCTTGGGCAAGTGCAACCTCTCTAGACTCTGGCTTCTTGCCTGTAAACAAGAGGAATCAGAGCCTGGCGTGACCTGGACCTTTCCAGATCAAAATACAGGACCCTAGACTCTCTGCCCATTCCTGTATGACACCTATTGTTGTGGGATGTGGACAGCCAAGTGGCAGCGTCTGGCTCACAGGGTATCACAGAAGCTTCACCAGGTTGGTGGAGGTGTTTGGAGATGGTTTGGAATAATGAAGAGTTTCTCAGGCAAAAACAATGAGGAAGAGGCAAAAGCAAAAACATAGTGTGGTGAAAGTGTATGTCACGTCTGGGGGTCCACCAGGGGTTGGTATGGCCTTGGTCTTTACACGGCACTGCTCTGTTCTCCCCACACATCCTGGGTGCTTGTGTCGGATGTGACCTCAGCTGGGAGGACATCACCATGACTGGGCCTGGCTGACCCGTGCTCACTACCTGCCTCCATGTACAAATCTCTCATCACTTCTTCTTCCAACCCTGTGGAACTGCTGGCTTATTGCCTGTCCCCTGACCTCCTATCCCCCACACCTCCCATGGCACCTCTCGTGCTGATCTTCAGGACTCCTGATTTGTCTGTCTCTCCTATTAGACTGTGAGTCCCTCCAGGTCAGGACCTTCCTCACTGGTGTGGTTCCAAGCCTTCTACACTGGGGAGTTGGGGAAGGAGAGGTAAAGCCGTAACCTTAGAGGCAGCAGAAGGACAGTGTGCTCGGAGGGAAGGACATGAGCTCAGAGAGGTTTGTCCTCACATGCAGGAAGGTTGTAGCTCCTGGATGCACAAGAGGAGGGCTGGTGCCAGTCACACATGTGCCACCTGGTCTTATCCTCCCCACAGGGATGGGAGGCTCAACAAAACTGAGGCTCAGTGCTCCAGGGACAGTGTCTTCTGAGATGTCTTGGTGGGCTTTCCTCAATTTGGTCACCTTAGACCTTACATCTCTGCCATGCCCAAAGGTCTCTGGGGGTAGAGACATGAAGTTCCTTCCTGCCCCTACTTGTGCCATGCAGTGGATCTGTTGCCCCCCCTTGCCCTGGTAACACTTAGTGACATGTCATAGTTCACCTGAAGTTTAAGAACCCCACTGACCTATGACCTGACCTTTAGCTTTCTCCATAATCTGGGGGGAGCTGGGGACACCCACTGTGACCACAATGTTGTGGAAAATCTTCTGTCATTGCACATACAGTCACTCCTGTATTGCAATGACCTAGCTATGTAATTTGTCTTCTCCACTATAGGAGAGACTAAGTGAAGGGAAACAGTGGATGGTACATGATCTATATCTATATCTATATCTATATCTATATCTATATCTATATCTATATCTATATCATCTATATAGTGTAAATATGTGAAATATAATTTATATCTTTATAAGAGTAAGTACACAAGAGAGGGTGTAGAGAAAGAGAGAGAGAGAGACAGAGAGACAGTGACAGAGACAGAAAGACAGTGACAGAGACAGAGACAGATAGAGACAGAGAGAAGGAACAGGTTTCTCCTGATGTCTGTTGAGTGGATGAATAAACATGCAATACTTGACTTGCACCAATAACTGGCCTATGACAATTGCGTAGGAGCCTCCAAGAATCATGGAATCTCCTTTAGTAACTTGTGAACGGAAGTAGATCATTTTACTTCTATAGGGGGAATGATCAAGCCTGTGAATAATTTTTTTCCATAATTTTATTAAGAGACAAACAGCAATGAGACAGTTTCAAATCAAATTGGTAAGACAGTTTCAATAATTAACACACTGCATACTCTCTTCCTAGTGGTTATTTGCTGTACAAAATGCAGACATGATATCCTATTTACAAACACTATTAGAAAAAATCCCTCTATTCATTAAGAGAACATAACTATAACCCATTTTGAATACACAGATACAAAAACAACATTCATCTGTATTTTTGCTTAGTTCTGTCATTTGAATATTATAGGTGTGTAAACTCAGCAAAATATTCCAAAAGAGTCTAATAGTCCATAATAGTATTGGGTCTTCTGCTTCACTGGCAATGTCAGAAATTGTTGACCTGAGTCCCTTACAGCTCAACATAACACCATGGCTTTACTTCTTATACTTCATTTTTATACCTTTCTGCTGGATGGGTAAGACCAAGGTAAAGCAAGACCTATGCAACAAGAGTTATAGCTTTTGGATCTGATAAGGTCAGTGAAATCCCCTCAGGATTTATCCTGAGATCCTGTACCTCAGATTGTAGAACCTTTGTCAGTGTCAGCCATGTGGATGAGTCACGGCCATTGCTTAGCCAATATGCTCTCTGTGAAAGACTGAGAGAATGTTTTCTCTCCATGTGACTCTCCTTAGGCACACTCTACATCATCAATCACTTTCCTCTTTGGCCCCATAATCTCCTTGATCAGAAAATTTGGGACACTACTGAATTACATGAAGTTACAGTACAAGTTCTCATATGTCCTGAGTCTTAATTGACCTTAGAAGGCTAGGGCCAAAATGTTGGCTTTCCTTGCAGCCCTCCTTATTCTCTAATTTTGGTCTGCAAACTTAGGTTATTAATCCTCCAGAAGAGAAGCTTATTGTTATTTCCATACAACCTAGGCTGTTGAGCTTAACCTTACTATCTGTCTGAATATCAAACATCTTAGGCATAACATGGAACAGGTATTTTTCATCAAATATTGATATGTGGAACTTTAAGTCCCTACAGAATATGATGAAAAAACATTTAAAAAATTAAAATATATTTTGAAAGTAGGCATAAAGAATTATATAATTCTTATGTTTACACATAAGTCCAGAAATCTAACCATATACAACCTTGTAGCAGGACAGTCCCACAAGAAGCCTGTGAATAATTTTGAGTGGGGTTTCAGGGTACCAAATGAGCTTCTACTCAGATCAAGTATGAACACCTTGTGCTCATCTTTCTGCCAAGGCCCCACCCTGCTGTTCTGGAAGAAATGTACAGAGGATGCTGGGGATGGTGATCCATGGGCAGCTGTGTGGTGTGGCATAGCAAAACAAGCTCGAGGGCAGGGGGCCTGTGGCTCAGGTAGAAAGCCCAAGTGGTGCCTTCTCTTGCAGCAGGCTCTCAGCACCATTGCTCACTGCTGCTGGTGCCAGGGCCAGCCCAAATGAGGAGGGCAGGACAGTGGCCTCTGCAACTCTGTGGAGCGAGTACACTTTGAGGCTCCTCCTCATCCTGAGACACAGGAGCAGAGAACAATATTGGGGAGACCTTGCCATGCATAGGGATGTCCCCATTGTTGTATCCCGCAAGTTTGCCTGGAAATCTGACTCAGATCCCCAGAAGCAGCCAGAAGCACTGAGCGCACAGAGCCCTCCCCATGGAGGCTCATCCAGCACAGGGCTGGTGGCTATGCTCTGAGCCCAGGTCTCCAGGGCTGCTCCCAGCCACTGGGTCAGCATGGGTGGGAGTATCACTGTGGTCTGGGTTGTTGGGGATGCAGGAATTTTCAGGCAGACTCTGCCTCAGTGGCGGTGCTGCGCTGCCCTTAGACCCCATTGCCATGCCTGGCACATCTCCCTCCCCTCCTGCTCGGTCCCCGTTCACCGAGAGCTGTCTCCTGCTTCCTCAATCTTTCCTGGTCACCTCTCCACCCTATTCATAGGTGATTCCTCTTGTGAAGCTTTTGTGTCTCTTTCTGGTCTGATCTTCCATTTGTTGGGAGACTCGGATGAGCACACACTTGAGGGCAGAAGCCTCAGTAACCGTCCTTCCCCCACAGCGTCTGGACCCCAAATGGGTGAGTTCACAGGAAAGGCAGTCCTGTCTTGGGCTAACAGCTCACACCCTGCACAACTGGGACGTGGACTCAGAACACTCAGAGCATGCATAAGCCTGTGTATTTGCATTACAATTCTATGTGACCACAATTTTTTGAATGGTAGATGTTTGTTTTTAAGAGTAAAATCTGGGAATGCGAAAAATGTTTATGAACAGTTTTTAGTAATAGGAGATATTTTTATTATTACAGCGTAGAAGCAAACCAATAAAAGAGGGAAAAGAAACAAAATAAGAATAGAGAGGATAGTGTTTAATGGTTTCAACTTTATGGAAAAATAAAAAAGCAAAAGATGCTATAAAAGGTATCAGGGGGATGTTAAAAGGGCAGTTTTGCAGAAGAAGAAATTTATTGTTATTTAAAAAGAGTGATAGGGCCGGGGAGATGGCTCAGTAGAATAAGCGCTTGCCTGGCAAGTGTTATAACCTATGTAACCGTCTCCATTTTGTAACTAGAACAGCTATTTTGTTATACAACTCTGTGCGTTTCTGTTGTAACCTACGTGATTGACTCCATTTTATAACCAGAACGGCCATTCTATTATACACCTCTGCATGTTTCCACTGTGGCCTCGTTATCGAGACCTGTTTGGCATAAGCTGACGACTTGGACTTCATCTTTGTGGTCAAGCTGTCCGTCAGGCCTCTGAACACAGTTTTGTTAATGTTCAAAATCTTCCTTTGTTCTGAGCCACAGATTGTTAAAAGCAATCTACACAATGTTTCCTGTGATCAGTCTCATGTCCTAAGACAATAGCTTTCTGTTCTAAGGATAACTCCCCGCTCCCAAAATTATCTCCATATCTTTTTGTGACATCCTGTGGTCAACACCATGCCATAAGAATTAATTATTTGTTCCTGAAAATTCTAACCGCATGTTAAAAGAATGTAACCCGTTTCCCATAAGTGGACGCTGACCCCGGGGCTGCATTCCCTCGTGCTCAAGTCGCAAGACCTCCCCTTTGCGGTTTTCAGCTTTAAGAACCCTTGTCTCTCCCCACCTGGGCGCGCACATACTTGGAGACAAGAGTATGTGCTGCCGCTGAGCTCGGCTAAATAAGGCGCTTTGAAGTTGAGTCAGGTTTTTGATTTTTGGGTTACAACAGCATGTGCAAGGGCCTGAGTTCAATCCTTGGCTCCGCCAAAAAATAAATAAATAAATAAATAAATAAATAAATAAATAAATAAAGCGATAGAAGAAAATACGCTTTAATGATAGGAAAATGAGGGGCTGGGGAAATAGCTCAGTAGAATAAGCACTTGTCTGGGCAGCACAAAGTCCTGAGTTCAATCCCCGGTGCCGTAATAAATTAATAAATAAATAAATAAATAAATAAATAAATAAAATTAGGAAAATGGATATGGTGGGTAAAATCTTATTTGAAAGAAAAAACAGTGAAGAGAGTGAGAAACCTTGGAGTGCCGTATTTTACATTGTTGTCGTCAGAAATGCGGTGTGGACAAGTCATACCTGGAGCTGATTAGGTTGACGGAGGTCAGGGTCAGCAATGAGCTACCAGTGCCAGCCCCAGTCGCGTGGCCACGGGATGCAAACGGCAGCAGAACGTGTAGTCATGATAAAAAGCCCAGAGGGAGGAAGAGGGAAGGGTCCAGTGAGTGGTTGATCCGCTGTGTTTGGGAGGGAAAGGCTGAGAGGGAGCTGCAAAAAAGGCTTGGGGGGCCTTAATTTTTACTTGCAAACTTCTTATCCACAGTGCAGACCTTTGTGCTGCCCACTAACTGGGGTTGTGGTCACCAGATGGTCGGTGACTATTTGAGGATCTCACCGCCTCTTTCGTTGCTGCTGTTGGGAGGTGGGCCCTCGAGAGTGGAGAATCAGTGTGTTGGTCCAGGGTTTCCCCAATCAGAGAAGTCCTATGGCTTATATCTGGATGTTCTCCAAGCCCTGATACATTCATCATATGGCTTTTCAGAGGGGGCTGGGCCTAGGGCGTGGGAATATGCAGCAAGGATGTGTGACAATAAAATTGCTTCTGGATGTGGAAAAAGGGAAGCCCCCTCCCTGGGTGTAGGTGACACCAGCCACTTGGCTTGTACCCTGGGTGGAACATAAAGGCTGCTGTTTGCTGCTTGCTGCCTCCTACCTGTCGTGCCATGGACAGTTTCTCCTCTGCGATCTTCCACTACCATGCTGGCTTACCTTGGAGCCAGCCGACTGTAGACTGAAACCTCTACAAACTGTGAACTGAAATCAACCTTTTCTCCTTTAGCTTTGGGTATCCTGCATTTTATCTCCAAAATAAAAACAAAGGAGATAAAAATTTCCCATATCATGAGTGATGCTACTTCCTGTGGCCCAGCCAGATGGAAAGAGGAGAGCAGCGGGCTGGGTATTTGAGAGTTGAACAAACAATCAAGAAAGCAAGAAGGAAAAGGGCCAGAAGCTCGGGCTCCCAGCCAAGACTCCAGGTGAACTTGACATTGCTTCCCAGGCTGTTAAGAGCTTGCTCACATGTCTTCAGGTTTTGCTCATTTGGGTATCCCTTTCTTTTCTTTTTTTTATTTTTGAGGGGAGTCTCACTACATATAGTTCAAGTTGGCCCTAAATTCATTATGTAGGCTCTGTCGGCCTTGAACTTATGGTGATCCTCCTTCCTCAGCCTTCCCAGTGCTAGGACTGGAGGGTGCAGCACTTCATCTGACATTGGGCTTGCTTTAGAAGGTGAACAGAGAAGTACTAGCTCTTGGCCTAGCATGTACCAGCCCAGAAGGGACACTGATACATGTCAGTGTAGTGGTGACAGGGCAACGCCTGGCTTCAGATTCACACAGGAGATGGCGGGGCCACACTTCTGGATGCATCCGGGTGGGTCATGGAGGCATGACCTTGGGCACTACATATGGCTTCCTGTCCCTTCTTCTCTGCTGCCCTTCTCCCTCTCTGCTGCCATCATGAACTGAGCTGCACTGTGATGTTGGCTGCATCTTTCCTCTGTGACATCTCTGCTTCGGAGCCAGTCAACTGACCATGGACTGAACCCCCTGAAGCCGTGAACTCCAATCCCTTCTCTTTTAGTTGTGGATATAACTAGTGTGTCATGTGACAAAAAGCTGATTAAACCAGTCAGCAAGGCCAACACACTGCAAGGAATCAGCAAACCAGGCATGGCAGCAGCTGATCAGAAGTGAGCCCCATTTTTAGGTGAAGGATGTCTCTAATCTTGGTCTCTAAGACCACCTTGCTGTTTGACCCACCCCATTCTCAGCTCCATTTCCATACCTCACCTTTAGGTGCTGTATGGGGTGCTCCAACATTAACAACCCAATGCAGTGCAGCCTACAGCTGTTAGAATGCTCAATTTCCATCACTCAAGCAGAAAAGCAAAAAAGTGCTGGGAGCTAATAGACGAATCTGCTCATCTCTCCCAAGGTTCCCTCCCGATAGTAGTTACATGTGAAGCTGACAAAGTGTCAAATTTCATTACTTACCAACCCAGGAAGTCATCCCCACACTGATGAGTAGAGGCACCAGCATGGTGAGCAGCAGGGGAGAGGGCCCAGGTGTCCACTGCATCCTGGGAAAGAGAGCAGTGGGTGGTAACCGTTCTGGTTTTGGAAGGGCACAAAAGAAGCAGCAGGAACTTTGCCTTTCTTTGCACTACAAGGTAAGTAGTAAAAGGACAAAGTCCCAAGAGGGTTTCTGTCCTAACGTCACTCCTAAGCAGCCGCTTGGCATTAAGATCACATTTCCATTTGGAAACTTAGTTTCTTGGTCTATATGGTAGAAACTGAACTGTGAGCTCCTCGAGGACACAGTTATAGCTTCACTTATTATTTACGTATTTTCTGGTCGTTTGTCGCAGGCCTGCCCTTGGTGTCAGTGGCCAGAATTCCAAATTTGGGTGTGCCAAGTGAGGAAGCATAACTCTCACCGCCTGAGACACCAGCATTCCAGCCACACCTTCAGCAGGCTGGTTTTGAACCGCCAGACCTTCACTACCTAGGTGCATACACTTGGAGACTGCATGGTGGCGCTGCCTGCTAGCGAATGCTGCCTGCAGCCACCTCCCCACCTACCTTCCTGATCAACAGATGTGCCTCCTCGCCTGCCTGCCTGCCTTGGAGACCAAGGGAGAAGGTGGGCAGAGCCCCACAGCACCTCAACTGTAGTTTCCTTGTGCTCAGATCAGCAAATACTGAATTTCAATAGGTAACCCCAGGCCTGTCAGTCACATAATAAATAGGGAAGGGGGGGGAACCCCAGGTTTTAAAATAATTTTAGTTTCTGAAAAAATAGCTCCTTGAAAAAAAGAAGATATCTGGTTAACTTGTGCCTATTCTGTTTCAGATCGTGTTTTAGTACAAAGCATGAAGGCTAACGCAGAATGGCCCATGCCACCCCAGGGTGCATGTTGTATACTGCACAAAGGTGCCAGCGCATGGGGAAAGTGGGGCTGACGTAGACCCAGGCCTCAGCTCTCAAGCCGTCTCAGCGAGGCTCTCCCAAGCAGGACTGCATCAAGCTGGGGGAAGGAGCAGGCTCTGTAAACATTATCCCGCAGGCAGTAGCTGCCCGAGTCCTGGCTGTCATAGGACTGTGTCAGCTGTACACAGGGCTTGGCATTAGGGAAGGTGTCTCAGGGGAGAACACCAGGGATGCCAGGGCCATGGCTTTGTGACCCTATCCCAAGGCCTGGCACAGCCTCTTGTGGCTCCCAAATGAATTTTCTTGTTGAATGAATGGAAGAAGGTAGGGTGTGAGATCTTGGAGAGTCTCACTCAGAGCAGGCATTCCTTCATAACCGGACAGTCTGATTTCCCTTATAATCTGCTCCTGCTACACAAAATTCTAAAGCAGGTTAATTTTCAAGGTGCAGCAGGGTCTTTGACTGTTCTGCAGAGATTCAATTCTCAGTGATTTTTCACAGGCCTGAAGCCGGACTGAAGCGAGGCACTGGAATCCACAGGTGGGCAATGGTGGACACTGTGAGCCCCTTCTGGGGGCCACCAGCCCCCGTGAAGTCAGAGCCATGAGACAGAGACCAGTGTGAGCTCGGGCACGTTAGTCAGTACCTGGCCCTTGCTTTGTCACATGGCTCCTTTGTCACCATTTTATCGGAGAGAAGGGCCAGGGCATTTGCGTGGAGAAGGGTGTGGGCATCATCCTGTCCCAGTACACCTTTTACAGGTGAGACCACAGAGGCTCGGAGACTTCTTGCTACACAGTTCTGACTCGTAGTGATCCTCTTGTCTCAGCATCCCCAGCACTTGGATTGCAGACATGCACCATCATGCCTACTTCCGGTGGCTGGCACGGAGCATAAGAGGTTCCAGACTGGCATGGCATGTGGTATGGGGGATCAAACCCAGGGACTAAACCCAGGTTCTTGCGCCTACCAGGCAGGCGCCTAGACCACCAAGCCATCTCCGAGCCCCTCCCCAGGTCTCTTGATCCCAGCCCAGTGCTGGTGAGCTCTCAACCCCTCCCCAGAAGGCTGCTCAGAGCCGGGATGAGTTCACCCATGCAAGGCATGAACTGCAGGGTCTTGACATCGAGAAGTGGCTCTAAAGCTTTAGCCACCAGCCACTGCACCTGGCCACAGGAAAAGGCTCTGGGGACAGTGCAGTCAGGACAGAGGCCTTGGCACTGCTTCCTCCTCTCTGTGAGGAGGCCCTGCTGCTGAGGACTGAAGGAGGGCTCAGCTGAGCACAGTGGACCCCTGTCCTAACTTTCCTTCTTGTGACACTCATTTGTGGGTGTCTGCTGCCTGGCTGCCCTGCAGCTCAGAGAAAACCGACTGAGAGGCCAAGCCGATGGGGTAGTCGGACTCACAGGAGCGAAGGCTACATGATCACTGACAGCCTTGGCTCTGCGGTGGTTTATTTTTAGAAAGCAATTTATAGGGAGGGGCCAATAGGGATTCCTATTTAGTGGAGCCAGAGTTTCGCTTGGAGGAGATCAGAAGTATTGGGAGAGGATGGTGGCGATGATTATAGAAAAAATGCAAATGTATTTAGTGCTGTTGAACTACACATTTAAAAATAGCTAAAATGGTCAGTTTTATGCTGTGCACACTTTGTCAGCTTTTAAAAATAATCTATAAACTCCTGGGCTTCATTTGTTGCACTTATTTGGCTTTTCCTTGTTGTGGATGCCCCCCTTTTCCCTCACAGGCTGCATGATATTTTCAAAAAGCACCCTAGGGCTTCACCCCCATCTGCCTCAGTCTTGGCTGCAAGGCTGCAATCAGGGAGGGCCTCACGGGCCAAGCTGCCTCCAATAGAGGTGCAGTTTCAGGGGGGCATGCAGCATGTGACCCAGGCTACATCCTGAGGTCACCCAGTCTAATCTAATCCACGTAGGATTCTGCTGCATGGATGCAGCCTTGAGCTTCCCAGCTGGCCAGACAATCCCAGATATGCAGCGTAGTCCTCACCCCTGCAGATGCCCCGCAGTTATTGGGGAACCTGGCTGAGGGAGGGGGACCTGAAGTGGCCAGCGCGTTCTTAGCTGGAGGAGATACTGAGATTATAACCCCTTGCTGAGCCAAGACAAGGGGAGTCTAGGTGCCAACCAGAAGGTAGCAGCATGTGGCCAGCCCTTCAGGCTGTGGTTCAATCTGACCCCTTCTGTTGGCATACCTTGGGCTGTTGGTGCCCTTGGGCTGTGGTCACCTGGAAGGTGCTGTGCTGGGCAGTGCCATCCCGTGGATTGGAAGCCCCCCGATTTTGCCTTTGCTCTCTACACTTTGCTGGCGGGGTCTAAAGCCATACACCACAGCTGCCTGGAGCTCGTTTCCCTGGGTGTCAAGAGCCACACAGAGTGGTGTCTTTCCACCAGGATGCCAGGAGGAGCACACAGGACCAGGCTGGCTGAACAGAAGGCCAAGCCCTGCAGCACTCGGAGCTCAGTGAGGGGGTGATTGGAAGGACAGTTAATTGAAGTTTCAACTAGGGGCCCTGAGGCAGACTGGCCTTCAGGTTTATAGGACCCTTGCTGATCTGTGTGGATTTTTCCCCAGGGAAGTTATCCAGGCACTCCCTGCCTGGCAGTGGGTCTCCTCATACAAGAGCTGAGAGTGCCTCTGGGTGTCCAGCCATGCCTCAGCCATTCTCAGGGACGTCTTTCCTTCCTTCCCCTCTCTCTGTATCCACTTCTCTCCCTCTCTCCCTCTTTCCCTTCTTCCCTTCTACCCTCCTGTCTCCCTCTCTTTCTCCATCCATTCCACCTTTCTTACCTCCTTCCTCCCTCTCTAGTTATGTACTTCTAATTCTCCATTCATATTTCTCCCTCCCTCTTGCCTTCCTCTCTCTCTCTCTCTCTCTCTCTCTCTCTCTCTCTCTCTCTCTCTCTCTCTCTCTGGCCCCCACACCTTCAGGAGAAACAGGTGCCTACCGTGACGAATGACTCAAAGGCTGTTGGACCGGCGATGCTTGGCTTTAACCGATGGAGGCAGAATCCTTTATATTGGAAGGGAAAGACCCCTGGTCATGTGAGATCTACTTCCCCTCCCCACCCATCAAGAACGCAGCCTTTCATGAAGGCTAGCAGTGGGCTGCCTCCTGGGTGGGGGCAGCCTCCTAATGCTATAGCTTGGCACAGGTGAAGGCTGCATATTAAGAGACCCATCCTGAGCCTCTTAGGAGACCTGGACTCTAATTAGAGAACAATAGCTGGCCTGTTTCATGCCACTGGACCTCCCCACCTGGCCTCAGGGGCTCATGGGCTGAGGGATTATGTCTCAGGTCATCAGGGAACTCATCAGGGAACTCTGACGGATGAAAGACACACAGGTCATGCACTGTCTTGCAAGAGAAAGGCCGGCTTTGTCTGGCCCAGTTGATTGTTCAGCCAGAGGCTCTTTGGGATGGTTCCAATGTGTTCCTGGCCTTAGACCTGGGAATTTGATGCCTCTTTTCTTTAGAGGGTTTCTGCTCTGCTATGGGGTAGAATGAAACAGGTCTTTATAATTGCATGGCTTGGGTTCCACTGCTCGTGTTGGCCTCCTAATTCATTAAATGGACACAGTCCTACTAGAATTGTCAGGTGGAAGAGAACAATGTACAGCGTGCAGTGCAGGCCTCTTTCAGGCTGGTTCCTCCACTCTGCTCACCATATCTCCTGGGAAGGGTTTCTACTCGTGATCTTACAGGAGAAATGACTTTTATTGTGTGTCTAGCGCATACCACACATTTCTAATAATGCTTTGCAGGATTGTCCTTGCCATTGCTTTGCCAGTCACATCACTGCTGGCTGCTCTGGAATCCCAAGAGAAATGGAGCCTGCATTCTTTTTAACAAGCAAGAGCAGTGGTACCATCATGACTGATGCATTCGTCTGCCTTCCCTGTCCCCAGGGGTCACCTTGGGCATGGGCTGAGACTCTCTGGGCTGCGCATTCCTTTGCTGCCTCCTGCAGAAGTGGGGCTTGTAGACAGCTACATCTGGGTCTGGGTGAGCCTCTGCAAAAGATGGCACTGATGGGCTTTTCCAAACAACAGCTGGCCCTTTCAGTCAGTCTGCAGGTCTTGCCTGCCATCCAACCGCACAGCCCTGGCCCTTCCTCTGCACAGAGGAGCCACTGCCTCTAACTGTGGAGCCCAGGGGAACACATGGAGCAGCACACCTAGGAAGCACAGCTGCAGCTAAGGCGCAGCAGCAACCTGCCCAGGGAGCTCAGGTCATTCTCGACATTGGTGGGTGGAAGGTTTTCTCTCCAGAGCCTACAAGGACAGGCTGTCTTTACCTTAGCACTGTTACCATTTTGAACCAAAGCATTCTCTACCATAGTCCTGTCCTGTCCATCTCAGCATCTAGGGCTCCACCCCTTAGAGGCCACTGGACTCCCTACTCCTCACCCCACTGAGTTGTGGCAACAAAACACCACTAGACACTGCCACATAACCCCTGGGTGGTTGAGCCACTCGATGAGAGGCACTGGCCTCTAACATCCTCAGCCCTGCCACTTTCCCTTCTCTGTTGGTGGTGTCGAGCGAGAGTCAAATCTAGTGAGAGTTCAATCTGACAAACCCGGGCAGAATGAAAGAGAATTTAAAATTACAAATTTTATTATGAAAGAAGTTGTATCCCTCACTCACACAAACCCAGACCCTACGTCCTATGCAGAAAAAGGGAGACACATCTGTACACAAACACACAGACCCACCCAGTGGCTGAGACACACAGATGTGTTCTTCCCCTTCCTCCCCACCCCCAACATTCATCTTCCTCTTGCCTATCCATTTTCTTCCCTCTCCCTCTTCTCTTTGCCAGCAAAGCTTCTTTTAGAGGCAGGCATGAGACAGAGAGACATGCACCTGTGCCTCTGCTTCCAGGGAAAATGTGACTTAAGCTCAGTGGACTAAAGCGCCTGCTTGGGCACAGCACAGAGGCCAGCGTTTGATCCCTGGAGTGCCGTGCTGGCTCCACCCCCAGGGTGCGCTGAGATGGCGACTGAAGACTGGGCATGGTAGTATGCGCCTGTAAATCCAGCTCTTGGGAGGCTGAAAACAGGAGAATCACTATGAGTCTGATCTATGTAATGGGACCCTGTCGACCTTGTACTAAATTCATGAAAAAGAAAATAAAGAAAATGTGATGTAGTGATATGCCACGTGTAGCCATACCATTGCTGTCATTGGCTGGAGCATGTAGCGATTCCATTTCTCACGTCATCTGCTAAGCACTACTAGCCACACATGCATGACCTGGAACTCAGCTAGAGTATGACCCTGAGGCTTACTCTTAGCCCTGAGTCAGGACATAGGTAGCCTGGGGGAGGGGCTGACTCCTTCAGACACCAGAAAACCAGTGAGCCCCTACTTATCAGTTTGCTCTGGGGCTCTGCATAGCCCCTGCTATTGCTGCTGTTGTGACAGACGGTGTGACTGTGGAAAGCCAGTCCCACTCATTTTTTCCTGCACTCTGAGCCTTTATCATAGTATGGCAAGTCAAATTCATTGTACATAACAAAATTTTAGTTAACTAGATCAAAGGATCATATGTGCTTTTCTCCAGACTGTAGGTTCAGGTTTTTCTCCCCAGTCTATCCTCTGAAGTCCTGAACTTAAGTCCTGGACTTAGCTCTGGTGCCAGAGTCTCTGAGTTGGACTGGTGTGTTTGGAAAAGTGTGCACACCCTTGCCTGATTATCCAGATTTTGAATTTTTGCAAACTTTGTAGGAATTTCTTGAGCACAGACATTAAGTTTCTATGACTTTGAAGCAAGTCGGGGAGTCCAGTATCATTGTACTAATCTTGAGGCCTCCCCCTTCAATGCTTTACACAGATTCAAAGGTCAAAATAAGTGCAAATTCTGAAAGAACCATCTTCAATTCATAGTTGAAGGGGTTGGGGAGATGGCTCAGTAGAATAAGCGCTTCCCTGGCAAGCGCAAGGGTCTGAGTTCAATCGCTGGTTCCGAAAAAAAAAAAAAAAAAATTGTGGTTGATCCAGCTGGAGCCTATGTGGATTCTGTAAATATAACCAAGCTGGGACAAGTGCCAGGGTGAAGAGTCATTGCCTGAAGTCATCCCTCGGTCCTCACACCAACCTGCAGATATTCTCAAGGCATTTTTGCTTTAGGGCTGGAGGAAAAAGAAGGAGAAACTCAGATGCTGAGATGGAAGCATCACAGAGACTTACCTTGAACTCTGATGGCACCAGCCCACACTTGGTTTCTACCAGAAGTCAGGAGGGGAGCATGGCACTAGTCAGTAAATTACAGAGCAGAAAGACTCACGCAGGACCCCCTTGCTATTTAACAAGTGAATGGAGGAAGGAGCCACCCACGTTGCTCTACTCTTTACCTAGTGCTCTTTGCCCAGTACCCAGTTAAATCCAGCTCTTCTCCCAGGTTGTAAGATGCTGATTTGGACTCACTGATGTACTACCCAGTGATGTAATAGCTGTGTGTATAGAGATTTTTAAGGCAGTAAGGACAAAAGAGGAGCTACTCAATTATGCATTAGGAAGATGCCTGTTCCCTCTCCCCATACCTAGTGAAAGGCTTTCATTCATTGACTTCCGAACCCCTTATTCCCAAGGCCTGGCTCTTGCAAAGCCTCAGGAAGGTAATGGTAGACAGACAGAGGACACAGAACAAGTGAAGGGATGAATTTGCATAATGAAACAGGGGCCTAGCTGGGCAGGATGGTGCCTGCCTATAACTCCACCCTCTGAGAAGCTGAAGCAGGAGGATTAAAAGTTTGAGCCCATCCTGGGCAACTTAGTGACCTAGTGAAAGCCTGGTTCAAAATGAAAAATGAAAAGGGCTTGGGACATAGCTCAGTGTGAAGGCCCTAGGCTCAATTCTCAGTGCCTTGGGGAAAAGGGAGTG